TGAGACTCTGTCTCAAAAAAAAAAAAAAAAAAGCAAAATGTGGACATCTGTTCATGTCTGGTGAACAGGCCAAGTGAGCAGGAACCGCGAGACGGTGACCACAGGGCCATGTCTCCACGTGGGCCTGTCCTATCCTTTGCACTTGTCTGTTTTCTATTGTTTTAAATTATTACAGGTGGAATAACCCTTGTCCGAAATGCTTGCGACCACGAGTGTTTTGGATTTGGGATTTTTTTCAGATTGTGGAATATTTGCATATACACAATGCGATTGTCTTGGGGATGGGACAAAAGCCTAAGTGTGAAATTCGTTCGTTTCATGTATATTATACGCAACTTATACGCAAAGCCTGAAGCTAATTTCAAACAATATTTTTAAATAGTTTGTGCATGAAATAAAGTTTTGACTGTGTGTTGACTGCGTCCCATCTCATAAGGTCAGGTGCGGAATTTTCCACACGTGGCTTCGTTTCGGCACTCAAAAAGTTTCTCATTTTGGTGCGTTTCAGATTTTGGATTTTTGGATTAGGGATGCCCTGTTCTTAACAAAATAAAACAAAATGCCAAAGCGTGACAACACAATGAAGCCAATGCCGGTCCCCAATGCACCCTCTGGCCTGTTCTCCTAAACAACCCCCACCCACCTTATTGCAGGACATCCGACAAGCCCCTTCATTTCGCGTGTTCAAGGGGCTTACGTGGCTTATAGACTGGCCCTTCTCTCCAGGGTTACAAAGACATTTACAGTCTCGGTGGAGCTCTAGAGCTGGGGACCACAGAGTTCAGCCGAAGCTCCACACCGGGAGAGAACAGGGGAAAGGAGGGCTTCACGGAAGTCGCCGCCCTGGGAGACGCAGACGTGCCCTCGGTCAAGCCACGCACGGCATCACGCCGGTGGCACGCCGGGGCTACTGGGTCTGAAAGTGGTTCGGCCTGGTGGGGGCTCAGGGGACCTGGGGGAGGTCCCTGCTGGGGAGGGGACAAGGCCCAGATCTGGATGGCTCCTGCTAAGTCTGGGCTGTGGGAGGACACTGGAGATTTTAAGTGGAAAAGTGACCATAAAAGGGCAGCGTCTCATGCAGGTCTCTACTCCCAGAGCCCAGCTCAGTGCTCGGCACGTAGGACGTGAGCACGCGGTTATGGGCTGAGCTGCGTTTCCCCTAAACTCACAGGCTGCAGCCCCGAGACCTCAGAACGTGACTGTATTTGGAGAGGAGGCCTTCGAAGAGGTGATTCGGGTGAAATGAAGTCATCTGGGTGGGTCCTGATCCAATCTGACCGGCGTCCTTATGAGAAGAGGGGATCAGGACACAGACGTCGCACAGAGGGACGGCCACGTGAGGACACAGGGAGGAGACGGCCGTCCGACGCCACGGGGAGAGGCCTCGGAGAAACCAACCCTGCCAGTACCTTGATCTCGGACTCTGGGCTCCAAGCCGTGAGAAAATAAACCCCGGCTGTTGAAGCCAGGCTGGGTACCTTGCTGTAGGCCTAACAGACAGACGCACCCCTTGGATAAGACACACGGACGGGGCTGTGTCCAAATATCTCACTGGCTGTTGCGCGGAAGGAGCCCGCGGCAAGGTCCTGGCCGGACCCAGCGGGTGCTGTCTGTCAGGGCAACAACCCCGGGCCGAGGCCCGGTTCTCAGGGACGCTGCCCAGAACCTGTGGCCCGCACAGGCCGTTCGGCCTCCCCCACCGCAGCAGCTCAACAGAACCAGGCACTTCTGCCCCTTTTCCACGGACAACTAAAAAATACAGACTTTTTCCAAGTGAGACAAACACACTGTCCAAGGCCGAGAAATTGTTCTTGCTGGGAAACCTCGAGGCCGCGGGGCTTGCGCTGGGGAAGACCCACACGTGCCCGTCGCTGTGGGAGCGCCTCGTCCCCACTCTCTTGTTTGCTTTCCTGGTCATCCAGAGGTTTGGGTTCTGCTGTTCCCATTCCACAGATGAGGAGACTGAGGCCTGTGGAGTTTAAAGAACCTGCCCATGGCAAACAGGAAATCTGGGGTTGGAGCTCAGCTCTGTCCACCCTCAAGGTCCATGCGTGCGCCTTCCTTATGGCCACCGTGCCTTCCCCCAGGCAGGGGTGTCCCTCGGGATTGAAAACTCCCAGCCTCTCCCCGCCCGTGCAGGGGAAGGGCCTCCCACCTCTGCACTAAGGTTCTCTGTGCCCTTCTCTGTCTTGCTGGGCTTGGTGGCCTCCTGGTCACACCATGGCTCTGTCGATGAGAAGGCACCCATGGGTCACCCCCACGGGAGATGAGAGAAACCTTTACATCACGGTGACATGTCACCAAAACACGCCCCCCTCATCGGCACCCTCCACCCTCCATCTGCTCACGTGCCTTGACTCAAATGGCATGAGCTGACCTCTGACCCCCGGTGCCTGTGGACGCTCTACAAGGCGCTTTCCAGCGGCCAAGGCCCCGGCTGTTTTCCTGACGTCCTGGAAGAGCTCGCACTCGGTACCCGGGGAGCGAGGCCCATGGTCCTTTGCCCCCCGATCCCGGGGTTGCCCTGTGCGAGCATCACTCCTAGAGAACCCTCCTCCACCGTCAGCCCTGGCCGCGCACCCGTCACGAAACATCTGCCGCGGACTGCGGTGCCCCACAGCAGAAACGCGCTCTGGAAGGTTCTGTTCTCCTTGGCCAGGGTTGCAAAACTCTGCCCACAAAACCACAAGCAAGATAGC